CTGGAGGATGTCAGTTCTAGCAGGATGGGTCTGTCAAATCAGCCAATACCAGAGCCAGTCTGGGACCTTTTCATGAGCAGGTTTATGGACAACAGACAGCAAAAGGCTGGATATGAAGTGGTTGAGGAACAACAGGTTCTGGAAGCAATGGCATTTTCACCTGGGACTTCAGCCCAGAAAGCTGAGCTGATTGTTTTAACCAGAGCTGTTCAGTTATCCAGAAAAAGATACCTTTTTGGGATGGGTAGAGGCTTATCCTACCCAAACAAAGTGTCTGAAGTCACCCGAATCCTTGGAACTTATTCTGATATATGGACTCCCTCCATACAGAGTGATAATGGACCCTCCTTTATATCAGAAATAACTCCTTTATATCAGAAGACTCAGCAAGTAAGTAAAGCCCTATATGTAGAATGGAAATTATATGCATCCTGGAGACCTCAATCTACAGTAAAAATGGAGAAAATGAATCATAATTTAAAAAGGACTATAGAAAAATTAATGCAGAAACCCACCTGAACTGGCATAAGGTATAGCTGCTCACCCTTCTTCAGATAAGGGTAGCCTATAGAAGCAGGCGTAAGTTGAGCTCCTATTAAATAGTTTATGGGAGACTCTTCCTAGCACCCTGAGGTAGGTATGGTAATATAATCATAAGTGAAGAAAACAGAGTAAGGTAATATATTAAACAAATAAGTCATATACTAACCACTATCCATATGTTTGCCTGTTTAGGTCCTTGTCTTAGCTGGAAGCACCCCTACACCCCTTTAAACCAGGAGACCGGGTGCTGCTTAAAGCCTGAAAGGAACAAGGACCCAAACAACAACTGATAGAGAGGTGGAAGGGACCCTATGAAATTCTTCTAACAACTCACCTCATTGAAATTGTCAGGAGTGAAAACTTGGTCCACTCTACCATACCAGAGTAACGAGGTACCCCAGGGAGGAAGAGGATCCTAAACCCCAGTGGATGGGCCAGCCCTTATGCAATCTAAAACATCTGTTTAAGAGGAAGGAAAAATGTACAAACCTTTCATTTAAAACTTCACCCCAATTCAGCAGGAAGTAGTTCAATAACTATTACTTTGGGCCTAATTGAACATTGCACCAGTTAGAAGAGGTATATGGATGGATCACCTAAGTACTAAGATCAAGAATGTAAATATTTCTGTGGCCATATTAATGCAAAACAAAAGGCACTGACCAAAAGAAGGCCTTAAAAAATCTAGGTGTATATGGAATTGCAAGGGACCCATAATAGCCAAAACAATCTTGAAAAAGAACAAAGTAGGAGGGCTCACACTTCCCAATTTCAAAACTTACTGAGAAGCAACAGTAATCAAAACAGTGTTGTGCTGGCACAATGACAGATGTATAGATCAATGGAATAGAATTGAGAGTCTCAAAATAAACCATGCTATGATTGTCAATTGATTTTCAAAAAATGTGCCAAGATCATTCAGCAGGGATCATTTCAACAAATGGGGTTGGGGCAAGTGGATAGTCATATGCAATGGAATGGTACTGGACTCTTACCTCACACCATATATAAAAAGTAACTCAAATGAATCAAAGTTGTAAATGTAAGTATAAAACTATAAAACTCTTAGAAGAAAGCATAGGATAAATTTTCATGATACTGGATATGGCAAAGGATTCTTAGATATGACACAAAAGTACAAGAAACAAAAGAAAAAAATAGATAGATTGACTTCATCAAATTTTTGTGCTTCAAGTGACACTACTGAGAAAGTGAAAAGACAACCCACAGAATGAAAGAATGTGTATGAAAATCATATATCTGACAAGAGACTGATATCTAGAATATATAAAGAACTCTTACAACTCTAAAATAAAAAGACATAACTCTGGGAGGATGACTTTAAGTCAGGAGTTTGAGACTAGCTTGAGCAAGAGGGAGACCCCTGTTTCTACTAAAAATAGAAAAATTAGCCAGGCGTCATGTTGTGCGCCTATAGTCCCAGCTACTCATGAGGCTGAGGCAGGAGAATTGCTTATGCCCAGGAGCTTGAGGTTGCTGTGAGCTAGGCTGATATCACAGCACTCTAGCTCAGGCAACAGAGCAAGACTCTGTCTCAAAAAAATAAATAAATAAAATAAAAAGACAAATAATTTAATTTCAAAATGGACAAAGGATCTCCATGGATAATTCTCCAAGGAAGATATGAAAATAGCCAATAAACATATAAAAAGATGTTCAAGGCCGGGTGTGGTGGCTCACGCCTATAATCTTAGCCCTCTGGGAGGCCAAGGCAGGAGGATTGCTTGAGCTCAGCAGTTTGAGACCAGCCTGAGCAAAAGCGAGACCCCGTCTCTACTATAAATAGAAAGAAATTACCCAAACAACTAAAAATAGAAAACAAAAAATTAGCTGGGCACAGTGGTGCATGCCTGTAGTCCTAGCTACTTGGGAGGCTGAGGCAGGAGGATTGCTTGAGCCCAGGAGTTTGAGGTTGCTGTGAGTTAGGTTGACACCATGGCACTCTAGCCTGGGCAACAGAGTGAGACTCTGTCTCAAAAACAAAAAAACCAAAAAACTCAATATTTTTAATTAACAAGTAAAAGCAGATCAAAATCACATGAGATACCATTTAATACCCACTAGGAAGGCTATAATAAAAAGGATTGGTAAGGTGTTAATAGCAGCATTGTTTATAATAGCCAAAAGGTAGAAACTACCCAAATGTTCAGCAACTGAGGAAGGGATAAACAATATGTGGCATATCCTTATAATGGAATACTGTTTGGTCACAGAAAGGAATGAAATACTGATACAAGCCACAACCTGGATGAACTTTGTAAACATGTAAAGTGGAAGAAGCCAGCCACAAGAGATCACATGCTATATGATAGCATTTGTAACAGGGAACTCCATAGAGACAGAAAGTAGATTAGTGGTTGCCTAGGCCTGGGAATAGAGGGACTGGAAAGTGACAGCCAAAGGATATGGATGTGACACATCTTATTGATGTGACAAAAATGTTGTAAAATCGACTGTTAGCAATGATTGTACATATTTATGAATATACTAAAAACCATTAAATTGTATATAAGGGTAAATTATAAGATGTGTGAATTATATCTCAATAAAGCTGTTTAAAAACTCTAAGTGGACACAATGACAGCTTATTTACCCAATGTTCCATAGTTGCTCTGTGGGACAAAGTGGTTGTGTGAAAGGGATAGAGGCTATATTTAGACTCAATGATATAGGCCTCTTCTTAGCGAGTTCAGACTGACACTATGGAGTGCTCAGCTTCCCAGTAAGGAAGATCAATGCTGAATCCCTAGCAGTGTCATACTCTAGGGGGCTCTCACCTGCTACCTGGGTTGCAGGTAGATTTATTTTTGGTCCCTTCCAACAGGGAGGAGGCAAGAGACACTGGAGTAAACACTCCTATGATTATAGATTTTTTTTTACTGATTCAATGCTTTTATCGGCAGATTCTCCCTACACCCCCCACCCATGGATGTAGTGAATGTCTTATTCATGGGCATGGTACCTCAAAATACATTGCTTATGAAAAAGAAATTAAGTCAATGTGGAAGAAGTGAAGCAAGGTCTCATACCCACAGGAATATTTGGTCTTGTCATATATATCTCGTCAGAAATCTCTGCCTTTATATGAAGGTGAAATGGAAAACTGAAAACTCAGTTTGAGAGATAACACCTTGTGAGGTGGTGTATGAATTGGTATATGCCTTAAGCCTTTGACTAATGCATGGTGCTGTTTCTTCCAGACAGAATTCACTGGTCTAGGATACAAGAAGTGAAATTGAGGGGGCAACTCTCGCTATGACACATGGTAAACAACTCATGAAGCTTTTTGTCTTCCTTATGCTTGACCTTTAATTCTGGTTTGTGACAAAAATGGTTTCAAAGAATTGGAAGTTGAGGCTGCCACCTGACCCTTTGGGGCTTCTTGTGCAATTTAACCAAAATAAAGAAAATGATGTTCTTGTATTTGTCTTGGGCGATTAGTGCTGATTACCAAGAGGAAACAAGAGTTATAAATACAAGGGGATCAGATAAGAAGTATGCTTGGTATCCTCTGATGTGCCTCTTAGAACTTCTATATTCAGTTTGGTCTTTCCTGTATTTACTTGACCTAATCTTACATAAAAGTTTCCTATATTAGCTCAACATAAGATTTGGAAAGACCAAAAGGACTCAAACTTCTCATGAATAAAGAACTGAGGTACTGGCTAAAAAGAAGGTGCATGTTGAGTTAATAATGAAGGAAGAAGTCATGAATATTAACTACAGCTTCATGACTAGTTGCCGTTATGAAGATTATGATAAATACTCATATTTCCTTTCCTGTTCTGTTATGCATATCTTTATACATAAGCATTAATCACTTCCTTCTTTCTCTCTCACTTTTCTCTACTATTTTATACAAGGTCTGTTAGTAATAGTTACTTTTATAATATACATCTTAAATTGTAAGATATTTTTCTGTGATTATAACTAAACTACAAGAGGAATAAATATCCTTCAGAAATGGATACTGAGAGAGCACCTTTGGTCTCCTCTTTTGGGTACTTGACTTAAAGTCTTAATTTCCTCAACAGAAAATTCTTCTGAGTATTTTCAGGAACTTGACCCTCATGTTTGGGGAGGAACTAGGGCAATATGACTTCTTTTATGCTCTCTAAAAACACTTTTTTTAAAAAAGAAGGTAATATGGTGGCAGGATAGAGTGAAGCCTCTGAAGTCAGATGCAGCAGAATTTGAATTCTGATTTGGGTGATTAGGGCCGTAAGACTTAAGCAATGACCATAGCCTCTGTGCCTTGATTTCGAGGGCTGGAGAATGAAGATCATGAAAGCTATCTCCTAGAGTTGATCTGAGAATTAGGTCAAATGAGAAGATGGTGTAGACTTCGGCAAAGCACAGGGCCCAGTAGCTAGACCAGGCTCTGAGGTCTATTCAAGGGCAGAAGAGCAAAGACAAAGAAACTCCATGGAACTCACTTTCCCACCAGGGAGTGAAGCGCTGTGTCATGCTCCAGCCTGAGTGGCTCCCGCCTGAGGCCGTCCTCACCCTCCCGTAATAAGGTTCCTGTATGTCTGAGGTTTCATCAGTAAGGTCACAAAAGAGCTCTTGAATACCCCAGCAGTCTTTTTTACTTTTCCATTGTCTCTCTCCATACCTGTAGAAGGAAAAAGACAAAGATCTGAGTTTCTTTTCCATTGAAGGAGTCTTCAGTTTTTTCAGTCTATTAATTCTTTAGACTGATTGAAACCTGTCCTCTAGTATCAGTACGACTGTGAAAGCTTATGGCTAGCCTTAACCATCTTTTAAGAAATTTCTTCCTTTTAGCTGTCTTAGTCTGTTTTCTGTTGCTATAACTGAATACCCGAGACAGGGTAAGTTATAAAGAAAAGAAATTTATTTGTTACAGTTCTGGAGGCTGGGAAGTCTAAGGTCTGGGGGCTGAGTCTGGTGAGGGCCTTCTTGCTGGTGAGGTGGCATAGGCTTCACATGGCGAGGGGGCTTATGAGAGATGGCAAAACTGGCTTTGTATTAAATATATCAGACTCACTTTTGTGATAATTAACCCACTCCCTCAATGACACATGAATCTATCAACCCTGAATGGATTAAATGAGTCATAAGGGTAGAACCCTCATGACCCAAGCACCTTCCAAAGGTCCCATCTCTCAACATTGCTACATTGGGGATCAAGTTTCCAACACATGAACTTTGTCATTGTTGTTGTTGAGACAGGGTCTTGCTCTGTTGCCCTGGCTATAGTGCATCATCATCATCATCATCATCATCATCATCATCATCATCATAGCTCATACCAACTTCAAACTCCCAGGCTCAAGCGATCCTCCTGCTTCAGCCTCCCAAGTAGCTGGGACTATGCCCACCATGCCCAGCTGATTTTTCTATTTTTTTTTTTTTTTGTAGAGATGGGGGTTTCACTCAGGCTGATTTTGAACTCCTGAGCTCAAGTGATCCTCCCACCTTGCCTCTCAGAGTGCTAAGATTATAGGCATGAGCCACCACACCTGGCTGCAACACATAAACTTTTAGGGGACACATTCAAACCACAGCATTAGTTCAAGTGCTGTCTTGCTGAAAGATGAACAACCTTGACACCTTCTGTGTCAATAACATAAGGGTCTTTATGTTTTTAAGGCTTAGCAGTGTTTCTTCTGGTGTGTGTGTGTGGACCAACTTCCATTTTTGAGTACTTGCTCTCCACATCCTTAATGCTTCTGAGATTTCAACTTTGTGGCTTTTCTCCACTTCTCATCAGCTTGCTATTGAGTAATGTGGCTGATTCTGAGAAGTCGTTACCACTTTTCACCTCAGGTGATGCTTACCCGACATACATGATTAATCTTTTTATTGAAAATTGAGAGGAAGTTGTAGTGAGCATTATATAGGGACTCCTGTCATTAAAGGCTGGAAGAAAGGGAGGGAAACCCATGCAAAAATGTAGTGAGGCAAAGAGGCAGGTTGGTTGACTCAGCCTGAGACCACAAGACAGTGGAAAGGACAGCCAAAGGAAAGATTAAATCTTCACTTCCTTACCAGTCCTAATCCAGACACATGCAATAAGGTAATGGTGGGGAACAGAGCAGAAATCAGAGGCTGAGGAGAAAGATTTCCCAAAATATTTGTTGAAGGACTTGAAATCTAACTTTATAGACATGTAATGAGGAATATTGCTGGTATCTGTACTCTGTAATCTACATGACAGTAGTTTCATCATATCAGAGTTAAAGTGGCCCCGGTGCAGTGGCTCATGCCTGTAATCCTAGCACTCTGGGAGGCTGAGGGGGGAGGTTTGCTTGAGCTTTGAGTTCGAGACCAGCCTGAGCAAGAGTGAGACCCCATCTCTACCAAAAAGAAAAGGAAAAAAAAAAAAAGAAAGAAAAAAAAGAAATTAAAGCAAACCAAAAACATATATTGAGCATAAGTTGATGTTTTTAAATTGTTATTAATTGATGAAATATTATCTCTAACTTAACTATAATGATTGACTTCTCTTTTAATATGATACCTCATTTTTTATCCTAACCCAAATGGGACAGATATTAACAGTATATCTCATGAACTAGTTACAACCAAAGTGAAAAGTTTTCAAAATTATAAATCTGCCTTGAATTTATAAATCTGATACTGAAAATACCTTAGAGACAGGAATGAACCCAGGTATTCTGGGGTCTGAAATTTATATAATCTTGTGTCTCAGTTCATTCAGTGTTTCTATAACAGAATATGTGAGGCTGGGTAATTTATAAAGAAAAGAGGCTTATTCAGCTCATGTTCTGTAGGCTGTACAAGAAGAAGGGACCAGCATCTGCTTGGCTTTCATCCTGTGTCATATAATAGTGGAAAAATTCAAAGGGGAAGTGGACATGTGTGAAGAGGCAAAACAGGAGGGGTGTCCTGGCTTTATAACAACCCATTCTCATGGGAACACTCCCCTAGGAACTAATCCAGCCTCCTGAGAGCCAGAATTCACTCACTTTGCCAAGATTGGCACCAACCCATTCATGAGGGATTCACGCCCATGACCCAAACACCTGCCACTAGACCCCACCTCCCAACATTGCCACACTGCGGATCAATTTCAACATGAGTTTTAGTGAGGACAAACTTAAACCATAGCAGCTTTGAGAAAAAGAATTACATGCTGAGTATGATGCCTCACACCTGTAATCTCAGCACTTTGGGAGGCTGGGGCAGGAGATCACTTGAGTCCAGGAGTTCAAGGCTGCAGTGAGCTATGATTGGGCTCCTGCACTCCAGCCTGGGTGACAAAGTAAGACCCTGTCTCAAAAAAAAAATTACAAATGTAAAATTCATCTATAGGGCCCTGAAATTTAATCTTCATTAGCTTAATGGTAAAATAACTTCTGATCTGCTTTTTACTTTGGACCACAAACAGGTCCACTTTCAACCTATTTATACAGCCTAAGGGAAGTATTAAAAAAGTAATGAAAGGATGGCATTGCTAGTAAACCATCTAATAGGAAAAAAAATCTGCACACAACTGCAGCTTTGTTAGCTGAACCACCTGTGACTTGGGTTTTTTTTTTTTTTTAAAGAACTTGTTTCACAAAACTGGAACAGCACTGAACAGACAGAAAAGGGCATGTAGGACTCCTCCACATCTGCCAGACCACATTCTGAGAAGTCTGATAAAGCCAGTCTAGCAGAGAAGAAAAACCACAACCATCTCCTGTTATCATTTTGCAACAATAACAACTCTATCCTTTATTCCAATAAAAGCCCAAGCCACTCATTCTTGGGACCAGCATTCCTTCTTCCTTTCTTTCATTCCATGCCCTTTCCTTCTTTGGAAAGTAAAAAAACTTCTTGTTTCAAAATCTAATCTTTGGGTCAAGAATTCTTTCTCATCCCACGCTACATGATACTCCCGACAACAAGTACCAATCTCTACTTCCTAAGTGCTGAAAGCATCTCCAGCTATGTGTAAATCTCATTTTGTAATGAAGAAATCCTTATTGTAAAGATTCATAAGTTTTACAGTTGCTACACAAAGTATGCTGAGAGACACAGCAGCAGTTAAAGACTGAGAATCTTCTGGGGCTATTTCTTCTGACATTAATTAATAGGAAAATCTGACCTAGGTCCTACTCCCTGCTATGGAGACATGGATGAATTTATGGAATAAAAAATACTATTTTATCCCATATCTGCATCTGATTTTCTGAATTTCTAGTGAAAACCCATGAAAGCTAAACTGTATAATCATCTGTCTCATGCTTAGTCGGCATTTCAAACTATGTCAGAGGAGGGAGAGCCTCAAAAAAATCCCAGGAAAGGTGTGAGTGGACAAACCTGTCATTTTCAAATCAGGAGTGTCTGTTTCCAGGAAAGGAGTAGATTATATCTGAGTTGATTATACCAGGATTAGCCTGAAGATCACACAAGAGGAACATGCAGCAGCGTGTTCCAGTTTGTGTTCAGGCTTATAGGAGTCATTAATTTTGGAAAAATCTTCTAAATAGTAAATCCACTCCAGCAAATGCCTTTTAAATTAAAAATATGTTTTATACACTCACTTCCATGTTTGTCACAACTTCTTTTTCAATTAGTTCACCTTAATTTGTAACTGGCTCTATACACAAATTTCAATGACCCCTGTATGTATTTTTATAATCTCCTTCCTTAACTAACTGCATGAGCTTTTGGAGTTGTTTCCCAGAAAAGGCAGAATTTTTGTATGACAAAGCATTTGAGATTCTCTAGGCTCCTGAGCCTGATGCCAAGAATCACCAAACCCCACACCTGCCCCAGTGCTTGTGGCCCCTCCTTAAAAAACCCCATGATCTCTGTTGGCTGGGGAGTCAGATTTGAGATTATTTTTTTCTGTTCTCCCAACAGATATCTTTCACATTAACATTCCTTTCTTCCTTGGCAATCCTCGTTGTGTCAATAATTGGATCTTTGTTCGGTGAGTAACTAGATCTAGGCTGAGACCCCCTTGTGGTTGCCGTAGCAAGTGGAGTACTTGTTATGTGTCAGACAACTGGCTTCCAACGTTCATTTGACAAATCTGTACTGAGAGCCCATCACGCGCCAGGCACAGCAGTGGAGGCCAAGGCTGGCCTGTAAGGTCTCCGTGCTGGGTGCAGTAGGGCTGAAGTGTCTGCCCGACAGACTGCACATCATCGTGCATTTGGAGTCCCCAGGCAGACTTCAGGGGAGACAAGTCACTTCTGTCCCAACCTCTGCTTCTTCTCAACCTCTCCAAAACTGAAAAAAAAAAAAGCTCAGATCCTAACACTCCATTACATTCTAGAACATGCTACCCCAGTGGCCATCTCCATCAGCTGCAAGGAAGCTCAGTGTACTTACATTTTGTACTGTACAAAGTAGACACTGCTGTTGCCTATCAGTGCCCTCCCAGGCTGCCAGTGCAAAATGTTGTGAAAATTTCGGGACTGAAATTGTACCCTCTGCGGCTTCAGAGATGCATGGGTTGGCTGAGCTCCTAAAACAATAAGAGAAGGAGAAACACTGAACACTGGTACGAACACCACTGTCATTAGCAGTACTATTCAATGAAATTCCAGCATCACGATTTTCTAAATAGCTGCTCTAAGTGGAGGTGGAGGTGGAGCTCACAAATCAGCACTTTGGATCTTCAATGCAATGATTTTGATGCATGCTGAAGTCTCATAACAATGTGTTCCAGACTATAGAAAGGTACTTATACCCTCCCACCGTGTGCCCCAAGATGGAGAGGAAGTGAATAGCAGTGAAAAAATATTGTCCTTATTTCATTCCCAAATTGTGACAGGATATAAGGACTGAGACACAAGACCCATACTAAGGCTACTCATCTATCTTCCTAGGAGCCACTCTGATGAAAAACTTGCCTGGGATCAATTCTCACTCCAGGACCTCAGCCCAGCATTCGGCTCCTTTTTTCTCAGGTTCTTGCTCGATCTCTCAGCCCTGCCTCCAGGTAGGTCTGCCTTCGCTGTCCCACTCCTGAATGGTGGTTCTTACCTGCCTGCATCCTGGTTCCAAGCACCCAAGCATCATCACTGAGATGAACCAGCCCAGGCTAAGGAGGGAAACTACCCTTTGTCAATGGATTTCTTCTCTCATTTTTGTAGTAGCACCACGATCACCATCCCCAACAGTAATAACAACTCACTCTGCACTAGGCACCGAAGGGGCTTTTATCTGCATTAATTTATTTAATTTGTCCAGATCTTCTGTGAGACAGGTACCATGCATTGTGGTCCTCCTTTTATAGACTAAAAAACTCGGCTTGGAGATGTGAAGAAACTTGCCCAGCAGCAAAAGGTAAAGCTGATTTTGTAGACTTTGTACCCAGGCCATCTGACTCCAGATCCTGCCTCTTACTGATGGCAAAGCTCTGGGAGAGGTGAGCAATTAGAGGCTGAGGATATTCTCTCTCCTCCTCCTGCCTCCTCCTCTGGCTCCTTCCATGAACACTGACCATATATGAACATTAAGCAATATCAGGGATTGTGCTCAAAACTTTACAACTTATTTAATGCCCACCACCACCAGGTAAGGTAGGTATTTTATTCCTGCACTTTACAGATGGGGAAGCTGAGGCTTAAAGAAGTTGTGTACCTTACCCCACATGCTGTGTGGGGGAAGAGGCAGAACCAGGGTCATTTTGGTAGCACTTGAATTCCTGCCATATTTTGCTAAATGATTCTTTGCTGTTACCAAGGACTAAAGGCATAGTCTACTCAAATCCACACATTTCTGGAGGATGAAGGCTTGAATTGTTCTTATGTATCAGTCGCTGGACAATGGCACTGCTGTCTTGGGAAGTGATTTGAGCCATTTACCCTGAGAGGTCCCCATCTGCTAACTTGGGATCCTAATGGCCTTGCTCAGAGGAACGCTCCAGTCCCTCGAAGAGGTCCTTGTGAATACCAGCAGCAAATTCTCACGTGGTGTGTATGATCCCTCTTCTGTGCCAGGCACTTCTCTAAGCACTTGGCATATATGGACTCATTTCATCTTCCCAGTGACCTACAATCCCCATTCTAGCAATGAGGAAATTGAAGCACAGGAGTGTTATGTAAATTGCTCAAGTTCTCCTAGATAGTAAACGGCAGAGTTGAAGTTCAGATTCTGATAGTCTGGCTTAGGAGCCTGTGCTCGTAACCACTATGTTACAGTGACACTTCAAGGCAAAAGGAATGGGGGAGACAGAGGGAGAGAAGCGAGAGAGAGAGAGAGAGAGAGAGAGAGAGAGAGAGAGAGAGAGATGGATGTACATTTGTCCTGTATGAAATCTCTTGCACCCACTAGAGTGCCTGCTCTTTAGCAGGTACTCATTCAGTACCTGTGGAGTTACTCAGGCTGCATGCAGACAGGAACCAACCCATGCCTGTTCTGATCATTTAGTGACATAAGAAAGCTAAAATCTTTACACAGCCCAGAAAAGTGCCAGTGCCATTTCTAACAGTCCCTTGACCAGACTCAGATGATAAAGCTGTGAGCAATGGAAAAGAAATGAAGCACTTACCTAACACAACAGTCAGGAAGAAACTGACGAGGAAGCCTAGAAAGCAATGTTTAGACATCTCGGTCTCGGGTGTGACTGCTCTGGGCAACCGGTGTTCCCCTCAGTGAGAGGGACAGCTCAGGACAGAAGAGGAAACTATACAATCCGCAAGCAGAACATCCCTCCTGGTGTTAACCAAAGGCAAAGGGTTCCTTGTTGCAACTGCAATTTTATTTTGTTACTATATTGTATCATTTTAGGAAACTTCTAAGAATCACCTCAGAAAAACATTTGCTGAAAGTCACTTTTATGTGGAAGCTTGTTTCAGTCATTGGCTGTGGAAAGGCAAGACACTGGGGATAGGTAGAGCTGGAGGGCAGGGCAGGGCAGCGATTGTGCAAGCCGCACGCAGGTGAGTGAGTGAAACAACTTGTGAGGCCTTAGGAAGAATCTGGCCGCAGGAGGCAGAGAGGCTGCCAGGGACCAGGACTTGGCTGACAAGGTGATTTTGTGTACTATGCTTGGCAGTTACAGCTGTCAGGGGCCCTGGCAGTGGTACAAAGCAGGTATAGTCTCATGAATTCCTCTTTTTTCTCCCTTTTTGGTAGCTTCCCAATTAATCTCCCGGGTAGCCTCCCTTCCAGCCCCTGTGGCTCTCTGCGGCTCCCTGTAGTGCTTCAGCCTCCCCCCTCCATGGGGGTCCTGGGCCCCACTCAACTATGCCTCTTTCTTTCCATTCCCATCCCCCAGGTTCTAGCAAACTGGATAAAGATATTGAGCTTTCAAACCAAATGATTCCTTAAAAGGATGAATGTGAAAGACATTCATTTTGAGCAACACGAGACCTTTTCCATATCTTCTTTAAAATCAGATTGAACTAGGTCATCTCTTCTTTGTCCATGACTCATTATATTGTTTTTCATACCAATTTTTTTTTACTATAATACATGTTTTTAGAAGCACTGAAGTGATAGATTAACACACACTAAAGTCATAACGATTTTTTTGTTGTTGAAGAAACAGGTTCTTTAGGTGAAAAGAGGAAATGCATTCTGGCTTGTTTCCCCTTGTATAATCTTTTTCAAGCTCTCAGTAAAATGGCCCCTTTAGTAAGGAATAATGATGATTGCTGGTCAGTATCTATCCGTCCATCCATCCATTCAATAACATTTAACAAGCATTTGCTGCCCTACCATGAACTAGGCATATTCTCAGTAGCAAGGATGCAGCAGTGAACAGGAAGACATTGGCTCTGCCTTCCTGAAGCTTGCTTCTAAAGGAGCTAATAGACAATAAAGAAATATGGTGGTGTTGTGGCTTCTATTCAACTCTCCTTCTCTGTCTCTTTCTTTTCCTTTTCAAATGGGAGACAAAGTTTCAGAAGCCAGCTTATAAAACCATTTTGTTCCCATCTCCCTCCACGACGATTAGCCAAGACTCGAGCATAAGACAGGAAGGAGAAAAGATGGAAGATCTGGAAGGACAGGGAGGGGGGCTGCTGATGTGGGACAGGCAGAGCCTTCAAGGAGAGAGAGAAGGCCAATCTTCTCTATGAAGACAGGAACAGAGGAGAAGTTGTTTTCAAGCATAGAGCCTCCATCCCCAACCTGTGACCAACACCCGTGAACAACAGTTCTAGGTACTTGGTGACACTGTGAGGCTTTGAGTGGGGTGGAGGACTTATAAAGGAAACCTCCTCATCCCTGATCAAAGTGTCTTGGAACACAGCCTGTTAGGAATTTCTCCAGAAACCAGATCCCAGTGGACCAGGCCACCGCCATTGTCACATAATGAATTCACAGAACAGTTATTGGGGACAGATGTGATGCATGCTTTCTGAAGCCAGACATGTATGGAAAGGTCTGTGAAGGTAACGCCAGGTTTTCCGGAACCCTTGTGCTATGTCAGATTTCTGAATCCAGATTCCTTCTCTCCTCCCAGTGAAGTTTTCACCGCTTATAAGGTAGTCTATGCTTTGAAAGAAGAAACATGTGACATATCTTGTGTTCCCTTTTCACCTTCTTGGTGCTCCTTACCTTCCAGCCTTCTTAGCATCATTATTCACTTCCCCACTGATGTCCATTGAACTCTAGACTTCACATTAACTTTGGTCTTTCAATGGGGGGGTGATAATCTGGTTTTGAACTATTGATGTTTGATGTCTTTGATACCAATAGGTCTCATCTTGAAGGCACCACATGGCTCCAAGTTTCAGTTAAGAAAAAAGTGAAAACACCTTAATTCAAAGTTTTATAAATAGAGCACCAGGAAATGAAATTGGAGCTTCCACTGGGTTACTGACTTTGGAGAAGAAATAAGGAGGAATTAGGGGGAAGTGAGAAAAGTGTAGAATATTTCAGAACTGAATTCTCCCCAAAACGTGAGCTTCTGTGCTATGTTGAATTTTCAGAAACCAAACCAGTCCTGTCACGATTCAATGAGCTGTAATTGCGTAACAGAACCTGCATAAAAGCCAACCCTGCCAACAAAGCCTCAAGGTAGATGAAAAGATAAAATTAGATTCTAATTTCCCATCAATTTGGAAACAGAAGAATTTGTACAGAACTATTTCAAGTGAAACGGCACTTGGTTTGGTAAATAAGAAAATCACAATTACTAGGGGATCTCTGCTCAGCCTTGGTCCAGGCATGAAATGCTGGCTTCCTTCCTGCCTCCCCCTGCCGCCCCACCCCTCGGCTCCACCCCTGCAGGGAGAGTCCCGTGGGCTCACGATGGAGTGGATACCACCATCGTGTTTGGTCTGGAGAGAATTTACTTAAACCCCTACCTTGGACAGATTTGATTCTCCCTTTCTTCTGTGGCTTCCAACAGACCAACAATTTATCTAATTAAGGAATCACTATTAATTATTTTTAAGTGTGATATGGGATTCGGGTTATTATTATTGTTATTGTTAAGACAGGTCTTGCTCTGTTGTCTGGGCTAGAGGGCAGTAGTTTGATCATAGCTCACTGCAACCTCAAATTCCTGGGCTCAAGCGATCCTCCTGCCTCAGCCTCCTAAATATCTGAGACGATAGGAGCATGCCACCATGCCTGGCTGATTTTTCAACCTTTTTTTGTAGATATGGGGTCTTACTCTTGCTCAGGCTGGTCTTGAACTCCTGGCCTTAACCAATTCTCCTGCCTTGGCATCCTAAGGTTATTATTTTTTTAAAGATACACAGTAGAGTGCTACAGAGGAAATCACATGTCTGGGATTTGCTTCAAAACAATACAAGGGGTTGCAGAAAGGGGGTGACCAACCCCGAGCTGATGATTATTGAAACTGGGTATTGGGTACATGGTGGTTTATTATACTTTCTAGTTTTGTATATATATTTAAAATTTTTCATAACATAAGAAACTATTTTTAAAGTTTATCAACAAGATGCCATCTTTATAAAACTCCTTTAGGTAACCTTAATGCCACTTGAGTGTCGATAATACGATCTAATAATTATGTGGCACCACGTTAAGTTCTTTCCACTCTTTATCTTAGCTCATCCTCTCAACAAGCGTGGGAGATTGGTATTGACATCCTGATATCACAGATGAAGGAACTGAGATACAGAGAGGCTAAGAGAACTTGACCAAGGCTCTAGAGCAATAAACGACAAAGTGAGGGGTGAAACCAGCTCTGGCTAACTTCAGGGCCTGAGGGGTACTATCTAATCACGATTGTATTATTCTTCACTTGTAATATTCATTCCATAAAGGGATAGAATTATGTCAAAGAAGATTTAACCATTTACTCCTCTAATTGCTTATTCACTCAAACAAATGTTGATTGAGTATCTATCTGCTGTGTGCCGGGTTCTGTGCTAGGCATGCAAGTGCAGAAATGAACAAGATGGCGGATGCAGCCAGCATCCTTTTCTTCAGCCAGGTCTTGGCAGCAAAGGCCACATGCTCCTTATCCTCCTTCAGAAAAGTGTTTAAAAACTCGTGCTCGATATTACTTTGGGGGTGTCCATCCAAAAGGAGTCAGATCAATTATGTTTCTGCTCCAGGCTCTTTCCCTAGTTCTATGATTTGGTAAGCAGATGAGCATCTTTTAAAAGTCTCATCTTGAATTATAACTTGAACACCAGCTTTCTCTCCCTCAGACCTGTGGAAAAACTATATACCTGTAGTACCAGCAGCTGGGAAATGATCTGTTCTTTCTTATTCGCCGGGCCCTCAATAAGCCACTGAGGGATACCAATGACCTTTAGGCAGTTCCACATTCTGAAAATAATTGGTATGTGATTCAAAATAGTCTGTGAACTTGAATTCAGAGAGAAAAAAAAAAGGGAACTTCATCATTAAAATGCAAGTAATAAACACAATGGCTAATCTGAGAAACTTTAATATTGATTAACTTTTGGACTATGAACACTAATACATTATTTACAATCTCCATTCAGAGGACTTAGGGCTTCACTAAATTAACCTTTTCTACTCTTCACCCTTATTTTTCTGGATAAAAGATGCTACTAATTTTGCTTTGATTGTTTTTGACCAAGGTCTTTAACTGACCTTGAAAACCCTATTGGACAGCATCAATCTTTATGCCAATGCATGAGCGTATTCATTGCTTGGACCCTGGAAAGATCTTCATGGTGTAATAAGAATCCAACTGGTTTTGTCTCCTTCACTGCACCCACTTGGGTCCCTGCTACCATCACGTCTTGCATGGGCTGTGGCCACAGCCTCTTTACCGGTCTCCCTGTCTTTGCCACTGTCTTCTGCATCAGGCAGAATATTCCTGTTAAATGTCAGATTAGAACCTTTTGCTCAGAACCCTCCAATGTCTTCCCATCACACTCAGAATGAAAGTTAAAGTTTTTGAAGTCCTCTACTAGGTTCTGTATAGTTTGGCTCTGCTATCTTTAAATTCATCACTTATAACTCTCCTCTTAATTCACAGTGCTCTTGCCTAGATGGCCTTTTTGCTGTTTCTCGAACATGCGAGGTGCATCCCCACACAGTCCCCTCTGCTTGGATGCTCTTCTTGGGATGTCCAGGCTCACTCCCTCACCTCCTTCATGTCTCTGCTCAAATGTTACCTTATCAGTGAATTTCTCCATGACCTCCCAAAACAGAGCACTTCTCCCACCAGCTGTCCCTGGCCCCTTCATCTGCTTAATTTTTCTCCATAACATTTATCATC